GGGTTGGGGTGTGCGGGTGGCGGCGTGGCGGATGGGCCACGGAGCGGCTGCTCTCTGCACACAAACGTATGTGTTGCAGCGCACAACGCGTGGCCATCTGCATGGTGTAGCCGTCCTGAGGCGCTTGGCTTTTGGGCCTTTGTGAGGGAAGGGGCACAGGGGGCCGACCGTCGCGCCAGGCGGCCGGGGTGCCGGCATTGTAAGACACGCAATGCGTGCAGCGCGGGGCCCTTCCAATTTCGCAGATCCTCCGCACACCCCAGACATGCGCTTGCGCCCATGCAAATTGGCCTCACATTCTCGCGCTTTCCCTTGCGCTGCACCCGCAACACCCCCCCCCCCCCAAAAACAAACCAGGCACCCCCGAGGAGGTGCGGTGGGTTCTGAGTGAGGAGGCGACAGCCCAGCGCACCGGGGCCGTCACGGGCCTCAACTACAAGGAGCCCCGCACCCCGGTGCAGCTGGCCATGGAGGAGGCCGCCGCGGTGCAGGACATGGTGGCCGCGGGGGCAGGGGCCGGGGCCGGCGGCTTTGACGGCGCGCGGGAGGCGCTGGCGGCGGCGTACGACAAGGCCGGGCTCGTGGACGCCGCCAACTTTATCCGCGCGGCGTGAGACCGCATGCGGGCCCTGGCGCGCGCGCGCGGATGCGGGGCGACGGGGACAGGCCCACGACGATGGCGGGGACGCGCCGGCCCGCGCCGCAGCGCGGCGCTAAGGTGGCGGCCGCTGCGCGTCGGTGCCGGTGCAGGTGTTAGCGCAGCGCCATCCTGCTTTCCGCCGCGACGCTTGGGGGTTGGCGCTCCCTGGCACACGTTGGCGGTCGAGGCTGTTGTGCGGCCGCCGCATTCAATGCCAAATAACTGAGATTGGTTGGAAACCCAATCGCCAACTGAAGAACGCGGCCTGCGGCGCCTGGATTTCTGTGCGTGTGCGCGGGGCCGGGGCGAAGAGCAGTCGTCTGGTAGGGACACCGCATGCCATGGGTAGTGCGCAGCAGGTGGCTGCAGCTCTACCTCCGCACGGCCCGGGGCGAAGTCTCCTCCCCGCACCCCCTCTCCTGCCACGCGCGTCTGTAGGGGAGGGGGGCGGGGGCGCCGGCCAGCCGCGGAGCCTGGTCGTTTTTGCCCAATGGTGCCCACCTCTCCGGCGAGGCCCTACCCGCGGCAGGGCCGCGCCTTGCTTACGGCCGCAGCCACGACCGCTGCTAACAGCCCCCATCCTGCTCAAGTCTTCGGGGACCGCCGGGAGATTGTGCAAGGGTGGGACACCCCCCTTGACCGGCTGTGCTGGGTCATCCCTAGTGCCACACAGCCGCCCCTTGCATTCGGTCGGCGGCGCGTGTAGCGCCCGTGCGCTGCCGTGCCCGCGGTCCGGCGATTTCCTGGCAGCTGCCTGCTGGGACTCCTAGCGCCGCCGCGCGGCAATGATCCCTGGGTACGCGTGCCGCGACGCCCCCACGATGCCCCGCCCTCCACCCTTGGACCCTCTTTGTGGGGCCCCGCAGATGAATTCTTTGTTCGTATCGTGTGCTTAAGCGCTCGACAGCCTCCAACAACCAGCGCGCATGTATACCCGACATACGTCAAGTGCTCCTGACCAGCAACTAACGTAGCACACCGCTTTCGACAGCAATTCAAACGGCCAGGGGCTGCGTTGTGCGCACGCATGCAGCGCAGCGAGCCCACGAGGTGGTGCCCAGGGTGCGGCAGCTGCAGCGCGCCGCTCCAGGTCACGTCATGCATCGCGGGGCACAAAGCCAGCGCGTGCAGCAACATCAGCGGCAGAGCAGAAGCCTCACCCAGCAACAGGCAGCAAGAGCACCGGTGCTGGCAGTGCACAAAACACAGCGATGCACGGAACACATGCAAACATGCAAACGCGTCTCAACAGACGGACCCCAGCCACCCGCTACACGAGCAGCTAGCTACCGTCCAGCTTCCCAGTCGCGATGTCGGCCAGCACAAGGCTCTGGGTCAGCCTCTGCCCGCCAAACACGCATGCCAGGCCGGGCAGCCCCGTGGCGCCCCGCCTGGTCACGCTGATGTCATCAAAGGCTGCCTCAAGCGCGTACTGCACGTACTGCCGGCCACCGCCGCCGGCGCCACCCTCCGGCGACGCCTCCCGCCGCTGCATGCTATGACAGCCGTCCCCACGGCTGCCCCTGTCGCTCATGGTGGCGGCAGCTGCAGGCGCAGCAGGCGTCACGACAGCACAGTGCGACAAGGGGGCACCGTCCATCGCAGCAGCATGGCCGTCGTCGAGCGCAGCGCTGGCGTTGATGTGTGTGTGGCCGTAGACGTGGCATGAGGACCCCAGAGCGGCCAGCTGGCCCAGCAGCGCCGCGCAGCCGACCGCTTTCCGGAGCTCAGGCACGAAGGGGGAGCACGGCAGAGCGGGGTGCGGCAGGAAGTGGGAGGCCGTGATTACCACCGGCGGGCTTGTGGGATCGCCGCTGCCGCCACTGCTGCCACCACTGCTGCCCCCGCTGTCTGGAGGCGGTGGCGGGCGCAGATGGGGGGTGTTGAGGCGCAGCATGACCTGCACGGTGCAAGGGAATGAGGGGCGCGGGGCACTTGGCAAGGAGGGCAACGGCGGGGTGACAGTGACCCTCCAGACCCGCAAGGCTGAGCAACCATCAGTTGCAAGATTCACCTCGTCCGCAACCCAAAGGTGAATGTGTCGGTCTGCAGGCAGCCAGCAGCCAGGCACCCCCCACTTTTACGCACCACCCGGCACGCAGCCACCCTTGGCTGACACGTTGTACAGGCATGCGCCCAGTGGCCTCCCTCCCTTGGCCCCCAATGCATGCTCTGATCGCCACACTGTGCAGTGCTGCTCTGGCCCGCCCAAACCGGGCACATGTGCCCACCTGCCACACGTCTGTGTCGCGCACGGGCCACTGGCAGAATCGGTCGAACCGCAGCTTGCCGGGCCTGCCAGTTGGGCGGCACGGGAGTGTTGGGCATCAGACATGATCAGTCCGCGCGTTTTGACGCGTGGCGAGGCACACTGCCAGTGCGTGTGGCCTGCTGTCATGTGCTGATGCAATGCCCACAAACGCGACCCGCGCCCTACCCGCAACTCTGCTCATCATGCGATGGTCCTGGTTATCCCCCCCCGGGTGCCCAGCTCACACCAGACCCTGAATGCACCACCCGCCTGCCTCCTCTGCGCTTGCAAGAGATGGCAGGCCCGTCGACAACGCCCGACCCGCCC